GAGAGTCAAGAAGAAGTTAGAAGCTGATATCAATGAACTTGAAATTGCACTGGATCATGCAAATAAGGCGAATGCGGATTCAATGAAGAGTTTGAAACGTTACACTGAACAAGTTCGCGAAATACAACTTCAGGTTCGAGATTTACATCAAAGAAATATTTTTGAAGATGTCCAAAAGCAGTATTGTCCACTGACAAAAATTCAATTCGATCTCAAAAAATGATCATATACCCATGATTATATTCTCGTTTACTATTACTTTTTAGCATGAATAGATGAGCAACCAATGATACTGCTATCAAAATCGCCGCTGTATTGATTATTATCTTTTCATGAGCGTAGTTATTGTAATGATATTATCATCTCAGCTGATATTTAGAACGATGTCCTCATGCAGCCATTTACAGATCGAAGAAGAGCAAAGACAACGTGATGAGATGAAAGAGCAATACTATGCAGCCGAGAAACGTGCGACGATCCTAGAATCTGAAAAGGAAGAATTAGCAGCCTCCTGTGATCAGGCCGAACGTGCTCGCAAGCAGGCTGAACTTGATGCCAGTGATGGACGTGAACAAGCCAATGACTTGATCGCGCAAGTTAATAGCTTGAACGCCACAAAGAGACGAATGGAAGGGGAACTCCAGGTTATAATCTCTTTCTGGTTTAAGACTCATCACCTAATTGCTCTATTCAAATCCCATTAAGAGAGAATGAGAAAGGACTAGTGGACGGTAATCATGACAAGTTGACTAAATTATCTGAGAAAATTTTAATGACCGTAAGTTTGAGTTAAGAGGACGGCACCACAACGGGGATCGAACTAACGACAACTCTCTCGATGATCATCAATTGTCGATTCAGTCGATGATATTGATTGATCATTAGATCATTCGTTGATGATCACTTTCATTGTCATCTATTCAGTTGATTGCTGCTTCTTGCAGGCGATCCATGCAGATCTCGACGAGACTTTGAATGAGTACCGTGCCTCCGAGGAGAGCAGCAAGAAGGCGATGGCTGAGGCAGAAAGACTTGCCGAAGAAGTACGAAAAGAGCAGGAACATGTGACACAGGTTGAACGATTGAGAGTCAGCATTGAAGCACAAATCAAAGAGCTTCAGGTTCGTAACTCTCATTTCATTTACTATTCAAAGAAACGGACTCAACCTAATCGCTCACACACACACGAGATTTCGCTCTGAAGAAGANAGATTGCTACATTCAGATGACATCAAGTTAAAGGTAGGGAACATGCAATCAAATTCGATGAAAAAAGTGTAGTTGTCTCATCAAATGAGCTAAATTTGTGCTGAACAAGAATGGAAACGCACGAATTGGAACTGAATCACTCCGTTCAAATCTTAAACGAAACTGCATCCCAGCTTAGAGATTCATTGAGATGATCAATATCATTGTTGAGCACCGAGTTTGGTTACAGGTGCAATTGGATGAAGCAGAGCAAGCAGCCCTTAAAGGTGGTAAGAAGACAATCGCTAAACTCGAACAACGTATGCATGACCTTGAAGTTGAGCTAGACGCAGAACAGCGCCGTTATCAAGAAGTTGCGAAGAACGTTTCCAAATCCGAACGCCAAGTTCGAGAGCTTCAATTCCAAGTTGATGAGGATAAGAAGAACTTCGACCGTATGCATGATTTAGTCGAGAAACTGCAAACCAAAATCAAAACCCAGAAGAAACAACTCGAAGAAGCTGTAAGTTTCTCCCTTAGCATTGCTCATTTCATGTCTTTACTATCAAAGTGAGATAATGAAAATGCCGTTCGAAGGTTTGACACTTTGAATTCATACTGCGTTGTTGAATCAAACAAGATCGCGCCATGCTTAGATCATGATTATCATATGAGTGTACCATATTTCGATGGTATGCGTTCAAGTTCAGCTTGTCAGCTGGAAGCATTTGTTGAG